ACAGACAGAGACTTCAGAGGATAATTAGCACTGCAGAAAAAACAATTACTACCACCCTGCCTTCAGTCGAGGACCTGTATACTGCACGAGTCAAAAAGAGGGCTGTGAAAATATTTACAGACCCCTCACATCCTGGACATAAACTGTTTCAACTCCTTCCCTGAAAATGATGATATAGACTAGAGCACTGCACACCAGAAGAGCTAGACACAAGAACAGTTTTTTTCCTGAACGCCATCACTCTGCTAAACAAATAATTCCCTCAACACTGTCCAACTATTTACAAAATCTGCACTACTATTACAATTAATCTTCTCATCACTCCTTATCACCCACCCCTCCTATTGTGACAGTATGACTTTGTCGCTTGTATCCTTACCATTTATATTGACTGTTTCCTAGTATGATTTGATGATTGCTTATTGTACCCTATGACTATTATTAAGTGTTGTACCTTATGATTCTTGACTCTTGATGAATGTGTCTTTTCTTTTATGTATACTGAGAGCATTTGCACCAAGACAAATTCCTTGTGTGTCCAATCACACTTGGCCAATAAAAAAGAATTCTAATTCTAATACTATGGCTCAAATTGGATAATCAAGCTACCCATTATTAAGAATAGTATATGAACTATATGAACTATTTAATTATTTTAAAAAAAAGAAACAAAAGTCATTGAAATTTGCCCATTATCACACCTGTGTCAGTGAGTTCTTTTTATTAAGTATTATACATCATGTGAAAAAATAAACTACTCAGATATGCTACCTCAGAAGGAAAGTACCAAGACATCTCAATAGTTGGAAATATAATTACCTTCACAGCAAAGTCTCTTTAGACAGTGAGGAAGGTTCACAAATTTCTCCTTAATATTCTGTCAAGATTCGGAAAAGCAACTCAAATAGCACATTGACTTTAACTCCATTTACTTAGTTATACTTATTACCAATTATCTTTAGGCTAAAAGAAATCAAAACTTTAGAATAACTTTGTGAATTCATAGTCTCTATTGAACTCCCAGCTCAGTAACCTAAGTATGACCTTACAATGATGAAGAAGAAGAAAAGACTGATGAACTTTGAAATTTGGAGTTTCTTTGAAATTAAGAAACAATCATGACCATATTCATTTATGAGAAAACAAAACAATTCCAGAAGTATAGCCACACATTTTTGTTAATACAAAAGTGTATGCAAGTTTTTAGAGTTTTTTTCAACAAGGTATTATTTTAAAAAACCTCACTCCAAACCCTGTAGTGGGAGAAAATGTCAAAATATAGCATTGGCTTTTTATAGCTGTGTTTTAAAGGTACAACATGCCTGCTGAAATGGAAGTAGTGTCCAGTGCAGGGGTGTAAAACTCACGTCATCATGTGACATATTGAGACATCATGTGACATATTGAGACTTTTCCCCCTTTTGCTAAACCAGGCATGGGTGTGGCCAGCATGTGACGCATCCAGCCTGTGGGCCAGGAGTTTGACAGTCCTGGTCCAGAGTGTAGTCAATTTAAATGAGTTTAGTTTGCCATTATACCAAATAATAGGCAAAGGAAATAGTGGCTTTTCCCCATCTCTTTTGAACTGACTCATTGGCTATGTGTTGATGTCAGGATTTGCTCACTTTGCACTTTCTGGGAGCTGGTTAATCAACATATACAGGCACACACCTAGACAGCAGTACAGCACATGTGGATGGTGTTGTACCTTATGATTCTTAACTCTTAATGAATGTATCTTTTATGTACACTGAGAGCATATGCACCAAGACAAATTCCTTGTGTGTCCAATCACACTTGGTCAATAAAGAATTCTATCTATCTATCTATCTATCTATCTATCTATCTATCTATCTATCTATCTATCTATC